GGCCGCTCGATAGGTGTGTGTGTGTGTGTCTGTCCTTTATGCCTGACCAAACCACTCATTGGAACGCCATGAAACTTTGGGAAGTTAGTATAGTACTGGGAAGGTTTTTGAAAAATAATTTCTTGAATATCTTGAATATCCTTAGAGTTATTTGTAGATTTAACTCGAAAGCAGCGCCCCCATTGCGACTATGATAACGAGTTTTTTATCTATAAGTTTTATTATCACTAAGTTTATTATCTTAAAGATTATTTATCAAAAGTAAGATTTTCCACCTATTAATTGCGCACAAGTCAAAGTTAGTTATCGAATATTTTTGGGGAAAAAATGTTCACTAGATAAAACGATGATTTTGTAATGTAGAAAATTAGGAAAGACAAAATTCAGGATGACACAGCAATTTATTTGAGACAAGAATAATGATACAATTCCAAGGCAAGATACTATTCCTTTAACTTCCAATTACCGAGGGAACCAATTAATATTGATTTTATTCAACTTATCGAGTATTTTTCAAGGGACCGGAAAAAATGTTCACTTTATCGAGAGAATCAAATTTGCGAGTTTCAAATTATCAAAAAAAAAAATATATATATATATATTTTTTTTTATAAGTTTATAGAGAATTGTTTTAACAAATGTTCATTAGACAAACCTTTACTTGGGCCGCCCAGGTACATCCACTAGTATTATATAAATATTAAATGCAACGCATATTATTATTGTTCGTGTTCGTTTAAAAAAAAAAATAAAGGGTGATCGATTGAAAGGAAAAACAATGGGGGAAATAAATGCACACTTGCACAGTATAACAAAAGGTTTTATTTAAAAATTAAAACAAAAAGGGCTAAAAACTGTTACACTTATATATATATAGAATTATGGTTATATTTAAAGATTAAAACAGAGCTAAAAAACTAGATAAAAAAGGTTAAGCAAAAAAAGTAAAGTAAAATTAAAGTAGTCTTAGGGAAGGAAGACAAAAATAAATGGCGGGGGGGGTGTCGAGCGTTTGTTTACACAGTACCTCGTGGCAGCACCGTCGCAGGCTTGGCTTGGCTTGGCTTGTCTTGTGCGATGTCCAATTGTCGCGACTCGTTGGTTGTCTAAGGCGTCTTTTCCGCTCTCAAGTTTCTGCTTGAGGGATACTCCAATGCGTTCTCTCCGTCCACAAGACGCTGCTTGCAGGATAGCTTGACGTCTTTCCTTCCACAAGACGCTGCTTGCAGGATAGCTTGACGTCTTTCCTTCCACAAGACACTGCTTGCAGGATAGCTTGACGTCTTTCCTTCCACAAGACGCTGCTTGCAGGATAGCTTTTAGACGTCTCTCCGTCTGGCAAGGGAACTCAACTTTCCCCTCCGCTTCTAACAAGGGAATCCTGCCAACTGACCAAAAAAAGAATGTAACATGACGCTCCGTCGTCTCCGCCCACGCCGACTTTTGCCCTCGGTCGGTCCAAGCTGGGGCTATCTATAGATATAGAGAGGTAGATGTCTTGCTCGTTGTCTCCCTTCACCTAAGATCTTCATTCTATGTACAAAAGAAAAGGATCTATAAAATAGTTTTAACAATTATCATTATTATAATAAAATTCTGTGTGTTCCAGATTATTGCTATCAATAATATTCATTAGGCAAACTTCCACTCAGACAAAACCCAGGCGAAGGGTGCACATATGCTAGTAAATATATAAGATCAGTCCGAATGTATATACTTAGAAAGTATTTTTTACTCACCCTTATACTTGATATGCTGCCTCTAGAAAATCAGATTATACCCATTGTAAGTTTTAAGCCACTATCTATACCAGTGATTCTCAACCTTTTTTTTTGTTGCGGCATTATTTTAAAGATTTGAAAATTTGGCGGCACAATTTAAAAATTATTTTATTAAATGTCCAAAATAAAGTAATATGTATTACAAAAATAACATACGTTTATTAATAAAATACATTAAACACAAATTAAAAATTAAATATAAAATTATGGCAATACATTCAATGCGAAATTTGAGGTTTGCGTTTTTTCATTATTTCATTTATATTTGGACGTAAATGTGACAATGCCACTCTCATATTATCTTCTACATTTATTAATCTTGCTCTCTTTTTCGTTTTAATATTGACTAATGCTGAAAATCCAAATTCACATAAATAAGACGTGGAAAATTGTAATAATATATTTAAAGCTCTTTTGGCTATCAGCGGATAATCGCAATTAATATTAATCCAAAATGAATTAATTGATTCCTCTGAATGTTTTGAAATTAAATCTCGATTATTTGAAAGCAAAATGAGTTCTTCCTCTTCATTTAAATTTAAATCATATACAGAAGTATCAGTTATATGAAATGGATTACGAACCCAATCATATTTCTGTATATCTAATTTTGGGAAATAATGAATAATTCTCTCCTCTAATGCTGTTAAATGATCAATAACAATTATTTTAATATCTTTATAACAGTCTTTTGGAACTGACTCAAACCTTTCCAAATTGCCTTCCTGAACTTTTTCTTCCACAAGGTTATTTGTTTTTGGAATCCCACCAGCTTATCGGTTGAGGTTAAAATATTTTCATTAGGCCCTTGTATACTTGAATTTATTTTATTAAAAATAAAAAAAATATCCGATAAGTAAGCCAGTTTAGTACACCATATTTTATCTTCCAACAAAAGAACAAATTCATAATTTTTATCTTGTTCAAAAAACATTTTCATTTCGTCTTTTAATTCCAATACACGAGATAAAACCTTTCCTCTGGATAACCACCTTACTTCCGTATGCAGTAACAAGGATTCGTACTTGGCTTCCATAGCTTGACATAATTTAGTAAATAAGCGACTTTTTAATGGTCTTGATTTTATATAATTAATCATTTTAACACATTGTTCCAGAACTATTTTCAATTCTGATGGCAAATATCTTGTAACAAGTGCTTCTCGATGCAAAAAACAATGAGTAACTAATATATCCCCACTAAGTTCTCTAACAAGTGCTACAAATCCTTTTAGATGTCCAGTCATAGCTGGGGCACCATCTGTACAAATGCCAATACATAACTTCCACGAAACTTTTATTTCTTCTAAATATGAAGTAATTTTTTTTTTTTACATTAAAAATATTTTTCCCAGTTGTAAATTCATGTAACTCCCGACAGCATAAAAATTGATTAATTATATCATTTTCGTGAATAAATCTAACGAATGCAATTAAATGAGCTTTCCCTGTAATATCTGTTGTTTCATCAATTTGTAGAGCAAAATTTGAATTTCCAAGAGTTTTTGCAATATTTTCCTCAATATTTTGCGACATATCTTTAATTCTTCGATGGATTGTGTCATTCGAAAGTGGTATTTTAGAAAGATTAATATCTGCCGATTCACCAATCATTGTTTTTACAATTTTACGACAAGCTGGTAATATAATTTCTTCGGCCAAATTATGTGGTTTTAATTTTACGGCAAGTAGTTCAGCTATTTCGTAAGAAACTAGTTGAGCTTTTCCTGATACACTGATTTGTTTTTCAAAAACTTTTACTTGTTTCAATTTTAACGATAATGACTTTTCAAAGTAGCTTTTATCTTTTGTTGCAAGCGAAGGATGATTAGTCACCAAGTGACGTTGGAGTTTGCTCGGAACCATAGAACTATTTGATAATTTAGATCTACATATTACACATTCAGGAACAACTTGGTAATTTTCCATTGTTGAGGTAAATCCAAATTTTAAAAAATCCTCATTGTATTTCCGAGAAACAACATATTTTTGCGAGCAAGAGCTATTTTTGCTTGTACTAGGTATGGGCTCATTCGTTCGGTCGCCAACGTTATCAATATTGTTATTATCGTCAAGCTTTCTCTTTTTCAACCATTTATCCATTTTAAAAAGGATCTGCTTAAATAAAAATTATATTGTCCAAACAATATTAAAAAAACAGCGAATCAAATATTACCTTCAAATACGATTTACCTGTTCTAATTTGAAATAACGCAATAATTTTATATACTATATATTTTATTCGAATATGTTTTAATGTCCATCGATACAGAGAGCAAAACAACAACTGACTCACCCGTGCAGCCAAGGTCACGCTCCGCTGCGTCACGTGGGAAAACATAGGTACATGTTTTCTTGCATGTTCTCAGCACAGAATATAATTTAATAAAGTACGACAACAAACTAATGAATAGTAAAACATACTAAACAAACTATGAATGCTTTTGCTAACTCTTGAATGCAAGAAAATTCAAATTATGTATCAATATTTCTATGCAAAATATAAGTAATATACATCTCTAACATTCAATTTGCTAATTCAAGGCCACCAAATAACTTGGCTTATTTAACGTTTAATGTACAAAACCAAATATTCATTTTATCAGTTCAAGGCCAAGAAAATATTCGTTATTTTAAAAAGTAAAAAAATGAAAAAGAAAAAAAGAAAAACCAATACAAACGTGAACATAATCATATGACTAAAATTCGGCGGCACATTTTTAGAATTTCGCGGCACACAAAATTACCGCGGCACATTGGTTGAGAATCACTGATCTATACCCTTAATGTCTCAGCGAGCCCTTTGGGTAAACCCTGGGCGTTGCTGGTCACTTGGCTAGTATTTAATATTATGATAAAATTTTATTTAAAAAATATTTTATGTAAATTAAATATTGAACCACATTTTATATAATGTGTTGTTGTTAAAACATTGTTGGCAATATAGATGTACATCAACATAATAAACGTTTATGAATTTTTAATATACATAAATTTCAAAACGACATTTGAAAATTACCCCTCATGTGCTTCTTTTGAACGAATAATCAAAATTTATTCCAAGGAGAAATAACGACTATTTCCAACCTAAGGGATGAGGTATGAAAGGATGAATTGTAAAGAGTAATGATGATCGGAAAATAAAAGTGTCCAGAGATGGGAATTGAACCAAAATGTATAATAAATTACTTTATGTATTATTTAAGAATGGAAAAATATGTCCAGGGTAGCCTAGTGGACTTGGCATCTGCCGTAAGTGGAACACTATGGGTTCGATTCCTATCCCTGAACACTTTTATTTTTCCGTTTATCATTACTCTTCACCATTCATCCTTTTATACCTCATCCCTAAGGTTGGAAATAGTCGCTATTTCTCCTTGGAATAAATTTTCATATCTTGTTCAAAAGAAACACATGCGGGATAATTTTCAAATGTCTTTTTAAAATCACAACCCGCATTAAAATATACAAGTATCAGAGTCATCAACATTTCTGTCACCGTTTGCTTTTGGTTCAGTGGTAGAATGCTCGCCTGCAACGCGGGCGCCCCGGGTTCGATTCCCGGCCAATGCATTTTTTTTTACAATTTTTAAAACTCATTTATATTAGTAAAATATATGTGTTTTTCCTGTCTATGTACAGATTTATGGTCTATGTACACAAGTATGTATACAAGTTATTTGAAAATTGTGTTGCAAATTTGCCCTTTCGCTCGTAAGCAGCGCCTCTAGCGTAAAGATGGGAGGTAATATCAGCTGACCTAATGGACATGTAAAACGTGTTTTAACAGGACATAGAGAAAAATCTGGAAAATATATTGGGAGTACAAATAAGTTTTGAGGGATTTGCAAAAGAAGCCACAACAAATCTACTTATATATTTGCCTTATTCTGTCTGTTTGTCTGTTTGAAGCTCACGGATGGGATTTTTCATAACCATCGGTGGTTCAGTGGTAGAATGCTCGCCTGCCACGCGGGCGGCCCGGGTTCGATTCCCGGCCGATGCATTTTTTTTTTACAATTTTTAAAACTCATTTATATATTATACAAGAATGACATCCACGGCGCCAATTTATAATTGTAACGAATAGTATTTTAATTAAAACATTTTAAAAACACACAGTTTGGAACGGGACGTTTCACAAGAGTGACATCCATGGCGCCAATTTATAATTGTAACGAATAGTATTTGAATTAAAACGTTTTTAAAATATAAACGCACTCGGGTAAAACCCGGGCGTTGCCCGGGCCATTCGTCTAGTATTATATAAATAGCATCGGACCTTGTAAGGTTTCATGTTAAGGCTTCATCATTTCCCCAAAAAAATCAAAAGAAGTCTTTTCACTCAAGTGTAAGGAACTTTTTTTTTGTGCTCTAACCATGCCAACCTTTTTGCCAACAAAACACAATTTGCGGGAAGCGCTGCTTTTTTGTTTTAATTTGAAGAAAAGTGCAACTGATGGACATCGATTGCTGTGTGAGGCATATGGTAAACATGCTCTATCAATAAAATCATGTGAGTACTGGTTTCGGCGTTTCAAAAGTGGCGATTTTGACACCAGAGACAAAGAACGCGGAGGGAGGCCAATAAAGTTCGAAGACGCTGAGTTGGAGGCTTTATTGGACGAAGATTCAAGCCAAACTCAAGAGGAGCTCGCTGAAACCTTGGGAGTGACTCAACAAGCGATTTCGAACCGTCTCAAGGTCATGGGTATGGTGCGAAAACAAGGAAATTGGGTTCCATATGAACTCAAGCCAGGAAACATCGAGCGCCGTATTTGCACGTGCGAACTACTGCTCAAAAGACAAAATCGGAAGGGTTTTTTGCATCGAATCGTGACGGGGGACGAAAAGTGGATCCACTACGACAACCCAAAGCGCAGAAAATCGTCGGTTAAGCCCGGTCATGCATCAACTTCAACGGCCAAACCGAATATTCATGGCAAGAAGCTAATGCTGTGCATCTGGTGGGATCAGCTCGGAGTGATCTACTATGAGCTACTTCAGCCTAACGAAACCATCACTGGAGAACGTTACAAACAACAATTGATGCGATTAAGCCGAGCATTGAAGATTAAACGCCCACTATATGCCAAAAGACATGACAAGGTGATCTATCAGCACGACAACGCTCGGCCACATGTTGCAAAAGTTGTCAAGGAGACTTTGGAGGCGTTTCAATGGGATGTCCTACCCCACCCGCTGTATTCACCAGACATTGCTCCTTCAGACTACCACATGTTCCGTTCGATGACACATGGCCTGGCCGAGCAGCACTTCACTTCTTACGAAGAGGCGAAAAATTGGGTCAATATTTGGATCGCCTCAAAAGACGAGGAATTTTTTCGACACGGAATCCGTATGCTGCCTGAAAGATGGGAAAAAGTCGTAGCTAAAGATGGACAATACTTTGAATGAAATATATTGTACTGATTTCTTTGAATAAAGCTTCGAATTTATAAAAAAAATCCCTCAAAACTTATTTGTACTCCTAATATTTTTCGGATTTTTAGTCAAGAAAAATAAATTGACAGGTTCTGGGAAAAAAATAGTTGTTTTTTATCCAGAAAATGATGATGACAATATTGCTGTATCATATTTGATTATCAGATACAAAATATATGGGGGAGGGGGGGGGGATTCTAAAAAGTAGAGACCACGGGTGAAGCCAGTTCATTTTTAGTATGCAGTAACAAAATTCTAACAGAAAAACATTCATTCAAGCAGAAGACACAAAGCCAGATCATCTCTTTATAAAAATATCGCTTCTCAGACACAAATTTTGGAGCGGGACGTTTCACAAGAATGACATCCACGGCGCCAATTTAAAATTGTAAAGAATAGTATTTGAATAAAAGCATTTAATCGGGTAGTAATTCGGCTAGTTATATTATATTATACATACATTTTAACTATAAAAACTTGATAATAATAGGTTTTAAAATTAATCCTTGATAATAAGCGATTTTACTTTATATTATTACTAGCGGATGTACCCGGCTTCGCCCGAGGTTTTACCCGAGTAAAGGTTTGTCTAACGAACATTTGTTAAAACAATTCTCTATAAACTTATAAAAAAAAGATATATTTTGATAATTTGAAACTCGTATATTTGAATCTCTCGATAAAGTGATCATTTTTTCCCGGTCCCTGTGTGCCGTGTCATTCTGAATTTTGTCTTTCATAATTTTCTACATTACAAAATCATCGTTTTATCTAGTGAACATATTTTCCCGGTCCCTTGAAAAATACTCGATAAGTTGAATAAAATCATGGTCGTGAATCTCTCGATAAAGTGATTATTTCCCCCCCCCCCCCCGTCCCTGTGTGCCGTGTCATCCTGAATTTTGTCTTTCCTAATTTTCTACATTACAAAATCATCGTTTTAGCTAGTGAACATTTCTTCCCGGTCCCTTGAAAAATACTCAAATTATGTTAAACGATTATCGCATTTTGATATAGGCTTAGCAAAATACGATTATTCTTTCTAAGGATTTCTAGTTGTTTTTGTACTCACGTATGTTGTAGTTACGAGGACATCCCTTTAGATAAAAACAAATATATATTTATTTAAGGAACGACTTGTTCCATTTACATATATTGTTAAGAGCAAGCTAGCGGTAAACAATAACAGCAAGTTTGAAGGTAGAAGTTGGAAGTAGTGACGTCATAGTAGTGACGAAGCATCGATGATGATTAAAGTCAAAGATTGCGTAACAATTCCCTCCTTACTTTGGCTTTATTCCCACGATGCTGAGGCTCTCCAGGTGTTTCTTCATCTGGTCTCGGGATAGGTCCTTTGTGAAGATATCCGCCTCCAGGTCCTGGGATGGCTTGTACAGAAGGCAGATGTCTCTGGATTCATAACAGTCTCTCAAGAAGTGGTACTTTCTGTTGATATGTCTACAGCGACTGCTTTGTTTAGGGCTGGAGATCCAGTTGATCAATGACTGACTGTCTGTATAGATCGCAGTTGGTTTTTCCATGAAATTCCATTCTTCCAGCTCTCGTAACAGGTTTATTATCCATTTGATCTGACAGCAGCTTTCACAAGCAGCTATCATTTCCGCTTCCATTGTGGAGAGGGCAACGAGTGGTTGTTTACTACTTTTCCAGTCTATAGTTGTTTCGCCGAGCTTCAATACATATCCGCCGTAGGATTTTCCATCATGAGTGGTCGACCAGCTGGCATCGGTGTAGGACTTCAGGATTCCAGTCTTCCCTCTTTCAAATTTCACTCCTAGGTCAATTGTTCCTCGTAGGTATCTCATCACTCTTTTGATTGCTGTCCAGTGCATCTGTTTTGGTTGTCTGGAGTACTGTGAAAGTTTGCTAGTGATGTAAGCGATGTCGGGTCTGGTGTTAACAGCTAGAAACATTAGCATTCCAAGGGCTTCTTGGTAAGTGTGCTGATCAAAATTGTCATCTTCAATATGATTATCCAAATTGATTTCTTTGGAACCTGGTGTTGGAACTTCCTTACAATTTTCCATTCCATATTTCTGCAATATTTGTTGTACATAGTGGCTTTGCTGTAGCGAAATTCCCTCCTTGTCTTGTATGATCTTGATTCCCAAAAACATGCCTTTACATGTTACATCCTTTATTTCCAGGTGATATCTCAATTTATTGATGAATCTGTTTGAGGTATCTTCAGAATCTGAGACAGTGATAAAGTCGTCAACATATATCCCTACATAGAAGTATTTGTCTTCATTCTTCCATTTAAATAAGCAAGGATCAGATTTAAGTTTTTCCAGTCCACAGTCATGAAGTACTTGACTGAATTTCTCGTACCACGATCTTCCGGATTGGGGTAGACCGTAAATACTTTTGTTGAGTTTGCAAACTTTGTTTCTGTCTTGAACAAATCCAGCAGGTTGTTCCATGAATATTGTATTTTTAATGTTTCCATTTAGATAGGCTGCTTTCACATCAAATAGTTTAATGACTGAATCTTTTGTGGCTGCCATTGACAAAATAGTCCTGAGGGTGGCATTTTTAATTACAGGGCTGAAACTTTCGTTGTAATCTCTTCCTGGGATTTGGTTGTATCCCATTGCAACAAGTCTAGCTTTGTAAGTTTTGTTTTTGTTTTCTTGGTCTTTAGATATTTTGAACACCCATTTACTTTTGACAACTTTTGCGTTTACAGGTCTAGGTACCAGTTCCCATACTTGATGTGAGTACATGTTCTGTATTTCCTCAAGCATTGCGTTCTCCCAATGTTTCTTGTCTTCGCATGCGATGGCTTCTTCATAGTCTTTCGGAATGGTTTCATTCGTAGTAGC